AGCTGCGGTACATTGTGTGGGTGCTCAAGATTGAACTCAGGTCCCCTTAGTGCTTTTAACCAGTGAGCCATCTCTCCAGCCTCCGGAGTGACCCATGTTCTATAGTGAAGAAGTATCTGCATGAAGACCCACCATCATGGCTTTTAAAACAGACAGGGTTAGACAAAGATCATGAAAACACCCAGAAAAGAAGACAAATAGAAACAAGGAAAGCACGTACCACATACCAATGAAGGGAACCTGATTGGTATCAATGGGCCAATAATAATAACAAAGACTGAAGTAAATGCATGGATGCCTTCAAAACTCACAGTTATTTCAATCTTGAATAAGTACCAAGAAAACAATCTGGCTCGATAAATAAACCAAAAAGAATATGTTCAGAGATACAAATAATCTGGTATATCTCCAACGACCCTCCTCAAAGCATTACCCAGGGAAGTATTCCAGCAAAATCAACATGCAATCCAGAAGAGATACAGGGAGCCAGGTAGAGGGAGCCCAGGGAGGATGCAGAGGATAAGGGAAAGATGCAGCATCCTTTATAGCAACTCCTGAGACACAGCCATGTGCAGGACCAGAAGAGAAACAGTTCCATTCTGAGACAGGGTGGGGAGAACCTAAGAAAAGAGAAGAAGTGAGAGGCTGAGAGGAAGAGGAGGGAAGGAAGAGATGGTGATAGGGGGAGGGGAGAAGGAAGGAGGGAGTTGGGAGAGACAGAGACAGAGAGACAGGGAGAGAGGATTGTGTAGCTGGGAAGTCATGTCAAGACATCACTGTGTCACTTAAAACATGGAGCTGAACAAGTCTAGGGAAGGAAGGTGATGTTATATGAAAGAGTTGAAGGATTTCTGTGTAAAATTAGAAAAATGTTTAACGATGAGCATTTAACACTTTATTAAAATAAGTACGAATTAAATGTTTAAATGTCCTGGACCATGGAGCATAGAGGGAAGACATGGGAGCGGGGGTGACTAATGCCCTCATTCTCTGTCTGTCACCAGGCCCATAAAAACACAGGCTCTCGGTCTGTGGTGATGGGCACCACAGGACCTCTGCAGAGCCGTACCCGCCTGCACAGCGCTGTGCCACCTTGGCTAACTCTGGAATCGGGGCATCATTTAATTTTCTCCTCTTCCGCTATCCTTCCCTCCCATTCAAGCAGATACCTGCGGCATGTGTGCAGAGGAGGAATTGAAATTCCAACCACGTCTCTCCTCGGTTCCGTCTGATTTTCAGAAATTGCAGTAAATCAGTGGCACTGAAAATTGGCCCTCTTTTTTTTTCTGGGGCGGGGGGGTGGGTGTCAGTTTGATGAAAAAGCGAACACAAACGGAGTTTATAAATGTAACTAATCAGGAAGTTAAAGAGAGGTTAAACCTAATGGATTAATCAGGTTCCCCTGGGAGGTGCGGAGCAAAGGTGGGTGGGGAGGGGAGCCAGTGGCGGTGGGGCAGGCTGTGTCCAGACTGATTTAATGAGCCCCGTGCTCTCGTGGGCTCTTAGAGTGTCTGGCCACCCACCCTTTTCTGTCCATCTTTCCTTTGATGGCTTGGAGAGCAACCCCACCTGAGCAGCTCGGAGCAGGAGTGCCAACTCCAAGCCCCCACCTCTGATTTCTGATCTTGGCTGTCTCTGCTCAGGCAACTTTAGCCGGGCCTCTTCCCTCTTTGAGCTGTTGCTGCATACAATGAGGGTGAATGTTCCGATTTTTCACCATTTGAAGGTTTGTGAAGGCTGACAGAGGAGATGCCCCAAACTGAAGACCTGGGGAAGTAAGGATGGAAGGTGTGGTGGGGGTGGTGGCTGCTAAAGTCTCCGAGAGGATCGGAGTGGGGAAGACTCCAGAGGAAGCCTGTGTGCCACATGGCAGCTCGAGGCGCTCCGTCTGAGGGCCCAGTAGCCTGGCCTTGGAATTTGAGAACTGGGGGTATTGCAAGGATGACTCAGGGCTGGGGACAGGTTTGCACTCTCAGTTTGTTAGTCTGAAGGCCATGTGCAGGTCACGCCTATCCTTTATGTTTGGACAGATCTTAGATCTACTGCTCTGGCCCACACCTTTTCCTGGGGTTCAGCAATCTGAACTCTTCTTGTCTCTGTGTTGAGCAGACTGGCCTCAGTTTTCCAGTGTAGTCAAGGATGGCCTTGAACTAATGGTCCCTCTGCCCTCTTCTTCCCAAGTGCTGGGGTCACAGGAGTGTATAACCACACCCATCTCTATGTGGTGCTGGGGTTGCACACATGGTCTCACGTGGGCTAGGCAGGCACTCTATCAGCTGAGCTATGGAGCCCTCCTTCCCTTCAATGTCCTCTCTCTCTTCTTTTTCTTTCTTTTGACAGGGTCTCAGGTAACACAGGCTAGCTTCCAACTTTTAAGTCTTAGTTAGCATCTTTTCACCTTTAGTTGCTCCTGACCTTATCCCTTGAGCCAGGGTCTCTCCATCAATCTCAGAGCTCACGAATGTGGTTAGTCTTGCTAGCCAGTTGGTTCTGGTGATGTCTGCCTTCTGAGGCTGGGATCACAGGCAGGCTTCCACACACACCTGATATTCACTTGGTCTCCGGGATTCCACCTCTGGTCCTCACAAACAATGTGTGGTAAGTGCTTGGACCACTGAGCCACCTCCCCAGTCCTCTCTGTACTTCTTTTGAAGTAAACCCTGCCATTGGTATCTTCCTTCATCCCTGATGGTAGAGTCTTAGACAGCATGCCAGTCACAGGGTTCCTCTTCTCAATTTCTCTTACAGCTGATGAAATTCACTGGAAGGTTTGCCCCAGATATGTTTGGTAAGGGGGCTCCATTTTGCACCTTTAGTCTTCTTCTCATACCCTGAAGTAGAGGGTGTTATGGCTGGGACTCTTACAGCTACCTCCAACCCTAAGGATAAAATTCAGTGGTCAGTGTGGTTGAATAGAAGGAAAGCACCCACTGCTCTAAATACTGGGGGGGGGGGGCTTTCTGGACAGCCTTGGCTGTCTACATCCCTAACAGATAGGGTCATTCATTGGGTCCATTGTTGCTCATAGCAGAGCTTATAATTCATGGTCAGAACCCTGGGAATCCTGTGTGTGTGTGTGTGTGTGTGTGTGAGAGAGAGAGAGAGAGAGAGAGAGAGAGAGAGAGAGAGAGAGAGAGAGAGAGAAAATGTGTACCTCTCCAAGAATGGATGGTTATATGGTTATACACACATTTGACCCCAGTACTGAAGGACAGGGTGGAGTGGAGACAGGAACATTGCTGGGACTTGATTGTTTCCAGTGTAATTCCAGGTTCTGTGAGAGACTCTGTGTCAAGGGAATAAGGTAGTGGGAGATAGAGTAAGACACCGGATGTCCTCCTTTGGTCTCTGGACACACACACACACACACACTTACACACGCGTGCACATACACCACACACACATGCATGCACACACACATGCATGCACACACACATGCACGAGTGTGCACATACGCATACATACACACACACACCTGGCTAATCTAATCTTGCTGTTTAAATGGAGACTGAGAGGCTCAGGGAGGATGAGGGACACAGCTACGCTTACCTATCAGTGGCAGAGCTGGGATAGGCTACAGCTGTCTTCTTCACACAGATGAATGACAGCCAGCGCAGAGTTCAGGGTCTCATGTCTCTCGCAGACCAAGTGTCTCATGTTTCTCTCACTATCCATACTGGAGTCATACCGATGACTGGATTGTAATTAACACCAATGAATACACAGAGCCTTATCAGAGTTGTTAATTACATACATTTCTGTTTATAGGAATATAATACTGTTGGCCTCATTAGGCACCATTATCAATGTACGATCTAATAATTTCAATGTAATGAAACTAATACATTTCAGAGGAATGGAAGCAAACATCCCACGTCTGGGACAAATTGGATTATTGCAGGCCAGGAAGTCTTGAAGATGTAGCATTTGTTTTCAGAAGCAGCCCATGTAATTGGGGTGGTGCTTTACAGACTACATCTGATTTTCGCATGCCTGATTAGGCTGCTGAAGTTCTTTCTGAAGTTTTTAGGTGGAGGAGAGAGTGAAGCACACCAGTGAGAAGTATTTTTGGCTGTATGCAAAGGAAATCCAAACCTGAGTTGAGTGTGTGGCCCATACTTGTAGTTCTAGCACTCAAGAGCGGAAGTAGGAGGAACTCCGTTAAGGCTCTCAGTACATGCTTGTTCTGTGTACTAAAACTATTGGGGGTGCATCTTTACTGACTTTCATCTTTTCCTAAGTAGTAGAGTATGGCAGCTATCTACAGAGAACTTGTACATTAAATTCAGCAAATAATCTACAGGTGATTTGGAGTGTATGAGATGATGGGCATATATTATGTGCAAATACTGTGATTCACAGGGGAGAGGGAATATACAAGGGACTGGAGCACATGGAAACTTTGGTATCTGTGGAAGATTCTAGAATGAATCCTCAGTGGGTACTGAGGAACAACTCTGTGGTAGTTTGAATAAGAATGGCCCATATAAGCTCATATGTACTTGAGAGGAATTAGGAGATATGGCCTTGCTGAAGTAGGTGTGACCTTGTTGGAGGAAGTGTGTCACAGGAAGTGGGCTTTGAGGTTTCAAAAGCTCAAGCCAGGCCCAGAGTCTCTCTCTTCTGATGCCTGAGGATCCAGATGTAGAACTTTCAGCTACCTCTCCATCACCAACCATGTCTGCCTACTTGCTGCCATTTTCCCTATCACAACAATGGACTAAACCTATGGAAACTGTAAGCCAGGCCCAGTTAAATGCTTTTCTTAACAAGAGTTGCCATGGTCATGGTGTCTTTACAACAACAGCACATTGACTAAGACAAACTGCATCTAGCTACAATAACATAAGGCAGGGTTCACCAACACTATCTTCCAGCTGAGATGACTTGTCCAGGCTATGGGGCTGGGGGATGATGGAACCAGGAGATTATCTGTGTTGAGTTGTAGCTGCCCAACTAGACTGAACTCATGGGGACTTTGTTCAATCCAAGTCTAGGTTTCATTGTTCAAGCAGGTTGTGATCTCAGTGCAAGACTGTTGTCAAAACAAGAACAATCATGTACTGGAAACTTATTGGGTGCTGAAAGGACTTTATGGATGTCAAGTGATTTACTTACTCTTCTCATTCATCCTATAAGGTAAGTGACATTTGCATCTTTATTTTCCTTTCTGTGTGCTGGTGTGTATGCATGCATTCGTGTGAAGGTCAGAGGCCAACATCAAGTATCTCCCTTAGTTTCTCACCATCTTATTTTTTAAGACGGAGCCTCTCACCCAACATCTAGACTGGCTGGCCAGGCAACCCGAAGGATCCTCCTGTGTCTGCCTTGGCAGCCCTGGGGTAACAGATACATGCAGCTGCGCCTGGCTTTCATGTAGGTGCTGGGGCTCTAAACTCCATTCTCCACGCTCGTGCAGCTGGCTGAGCCATCTCTCTAGCATCTCTAAATGAGGATGTTGTGGCTGAGAAAACTACAGGAGCTCCTTCAAGGTCATTCAGCCAGTAAATGTGGAGAGTGGGGTTTGCATCCATGTCTGTCACTTCTATGTGCCACAGAATCACATTGTCTGATACTGATCATATGAAGATGGACCCACAAGCCTGCTGTTGCCCCAAGTACTCAGGGTGACAGCCTCATTGGGAAGTCAGTGGAGGACAGTAGATAGTCTCCTTCCTGGGGTCTGACATGGGTTCTCCCATCCCTGTTGCCTATCACTCTTATCTGAGAATTAAAGCCTAGGTGGGCAGTCTTGTCCAACAACACAGCTTTCACAAGGCACGGTACACACTGATGGGAAGAGTCTGCCTTGGAGACTCTGGGGCTCCTGCTGATAAAAATGCAGTTGGGTCAGAGAAACTCTGAGCTGCAGAGATGATGGGAGTATGATCCATCTCCTGCAGAAATGGACCCCTGAGAGCTGCAGGGCAGTGAGGATCTGGCCTCCTGGGAAAACTGGGTTCCCCTTAGTTATGACAGCAGCCATAAGCATCATTCTTTGGACGAGCCTGGAGGAGCCCCTGGGCTGTTCTGTCAGATGGAGTCATTGAATCCCCACTGGGATGGAGCAAGGGAGACTTTGTTCACCCCACACTGTGTGTGTGTGTGTGTGTGTGTGTGTGTGTGTCTGTGTGTACATGTGTATATGAGTGTTACATATGTGCATGTACATGTGTGTGTGCGTGTGTGTTGTGGCTGTTATACATATGTACTGAGCCATGTCTTAGAGAGACTGCCTACCTAATGTAAGTACTTATCTAAATATTCCCCAAACTTTGACCTTCAAAGAGAATATGGGGTACAAAATCAACTCTGGCTGATTAGTCTTATAAACACTGGGGGCCTTGGGCTCTCTCTTCCTTCTCTCTCCCATTTTCTTCTCTTCCTTTTTCTCTCCTCTGATTCACCTAGCAAGCTATACCTGTGTACCTGCGCATGGGCACTGTGTTGTGTGCTCTGTGTGGCCAGGGATGAACAAGCTGCAGGCTGTGGATAGGTCAGCATCTGTAGTGGTAGTTTTCAGGTAGAGGGGGCTCCCTTTCGCCTTAAGGAGACATAGGGGTTATCTGCAGATGTTTTTGGTGTCACATTTTGGGGAAGTTGACAACTTCTGTTGGACTCTAGTTATTACAGGCCAAAGATGGTATTTCTGTATATCCCATATTGTTTAGGGCAGCCTCTCCTGCCTGCCCCCACAAAGGGATTATCTGGCCCCAGACACCCATAGTACTAAGGCTAAGAAATGGGATTTGTGATGGCTGCCTGAAGAATTGAACTTGACTGTGACCAGTCATGGCTCATCTTGTCACTGCTGATCTTGGGAAGCCCCTTGTCCTCTCTGAGTCAGTTGTCAATCTTTCCAAAGGGCAAAGGTTGTTTTTGCCTCCGCCATAACGGAAGAAAATTAGACCACGAACCAGTAAAGCTCTTGGTATAAGCACCGTTACTTTTCTGTTGCTGTGATAAGGCAACTTAGAGAAGAAAAAGATTTTTTTGGCTTAAGGCTTCAGAGAGAGAAGAATCTGTCATGGTGGGGAGATGTGGCAGCAGGCAGGGATGATGGTGGCAGCAGAGTTTACAGTTCAGCCACAGCCCCCCCAAAAGTCAAGAAAATCCACATGCAGAGAAGCAAACTGGAAGTAAGTGAGGCAAAGCCCACCCTCAGCTGCTCCTCCTAAGCCTCCCAAGCAATGCTATCAAAGGGGGACCAAGTGTTCAAATGCTAGAGCCTGTCGGGACGCTTTCACTCAGACCGCTGTGTTACCCACCTGTCAGTGGAAACCCAAGTCACAGCAGGTATGGGACTTCTCTAAGTCTCACATCCTGTGGTCTAAAAACTGCTAGCAGCTCCCAGTAAAGGCCAATTCCAAGCATACCATTTATTGTTAAGGGATAGTCCAGAGCAATCTTAAGACTTTTATCCCCCTCCGACAACATTGCAAGTGTGATATTTAATTGTGCGATTAATGACACCTTCTCCCTGCTCAGTAGACCATAGACTCCTTTCCTGCATTCCCAACACCCAGCACAGTGTCTGGCTAGACATCATCTGCTCAATAATTAGAGGCAGACCGCCTGAGTTTACCTCTTGGTTTCTCTACTTGCTGGCTGTCCTCAAACACATGAGGAGTTTACTGGGCTTTATCTTTCTCAAGTATAAAGTGGGGACTGTGGTTCCTTGCAAGGAATTATGGGAGGTGTTGAGTATGCTGTTCTGTCTGGATACCTGGATTCTGAAACTTGCTGGGTGATTTGAAGGCTCTGCTGTTAATGCCACCATGACTTTATCATTTCAATTTAATTAATGGATGCTTCTCTGCCGCAGGAAGCCAGTTCCTGGATGGATCTGCTTCTGTCTTTGTTTCTGGGAATTATTTGGAGAAAAGTTTGAGTTTGCAGAGGAGCTGGCAGCTCATCTAAGCAGAAAAGTAGAAGCCAAGTGATTTCTTGCAAGAGACCCCTGGGATTCCTGGGTCACTGAGCAGCCTTTCTCTCTCACCTGGAAAACATAAGAATTGATTTGAAGCTTCTCTCATCTGAAAAGGCCAGCGGGTGCTAGAGTAGCCGAGTGTCCCTAAGGATGGTTTTAGTATTTGGTACAGAGGGGGAAGTGATTCATGATGGTCTGGGAATGCAGGAGGACCAGGAGAGAGATGGGCAGGGTCCAAGACTATATCCTGAGTGGCAAGAATCAGGGACAGTCTCAACTAATGCATGTGAAGAGGAGAGCAATGGTACAAGAGTCACTGTTATTACACGGAACGCCTGTGCTTACCTGGGGTTCTTGAGAAAGAGTCTGTGGTGGTTTAGATAAAAATTGAAGACTTTCTCCCCAGTCACTAATGCTGGGTCTCATGTAGCTCAGGCTGGCTTCGAACTTGCTTTGTAGCTGAAGATAACCTTGAACTCCTGAACCTCTTCCCTCTATTCCCAAAGTGCTTAGATTGCATGGTGTGTACCACCACGCTGGGCTCGGATCCATTCATGTTAGTAGCCTCATCCTCTTCCTGGGCCTCAGAAATGAGAGATTGTATGCTGGGCACAGGCGCTTGCTGACATTAACAGCTAACCTGCAGCAGGCACTTGACCTTGTCACGTGCTTGATGATTGTGTTGCTCAGCTCTTCATCACTGTGACAAGCACCGGAGATAAAACAACTTAAAGAGTAGAAGGGCTGGTTTTAGTTTATAGCTTTGGAGGTTTTGAGCCATGGTCCGCCTGCCCTATTGCTTTTGTCACAAAGAGGACGGTAGAGGAAACTGTTTGCCTCGTGGCAACTGGGAAACCACGAGAGGCAGGAAATAGTTGTGCTTCAGTATCCCATTCTGAGGACACGTCCTTGTCCTTGGTGACCTCACTTCCTTTCACTAGGCTGTGCCCTGAAGGTTCCATTATCTTCCTCTAGCGCCATCTGCTGGCAGCTGTGGTGTCAACACACTTGCTTTTGAGGGAGCACTCGCTTGAGCCATAGCAATAATTCATATTTTAGTGACTCTTCAAGGATAACATCTATCATCCATGGTAGTATTTTATTTATTTTATTTTATATTTTGTTTTTTAAAGATAGGGTTTCTCTGTGTAGCCCTGGATGTCCTAGAACTTTCTCTGTAGATCAGGATGGTCTTAAACTCAGAGATCCACCAGCCTCTGCCTCCCTAGTGCTGGGATTAAAGGCATATGCCACCACCATTTGCTGACATTTTATTTATTACTGTTATCACTGTTATAATTTAACCAGGAAATGTCCACCATGGCTTATGTCTAGAAGGCTTGTCCCCAACCAGAGGTGCTATTTTAGGTGGAGGGACCTCCCTAGAGGAAGTAGTGTTAGTCCCACAACGGTGGAGTAAGACCCATTACCAAATTCTTGCAGTCAAATTAAGCAAGCTTTACTACCTGTCAGACAGAGCTGTCTCCCTAAAACACAGCTTGGAAGAACAGCAGCATTGAGCACAGGAGAAAGTAGGGTTTGTATAGCTCAAAAACTTCAGGAGTAGGGACTCTCCAAGGGGTTGTGGATTTCCAGAGGAATTTTGGTCACGTGGGAAGTTGGGAGAACATTTCAAAATTATTTGGAAGAACAACTTATCTTATGAGGATGCATATAGGTCCAAGGCTCAGTCATGTCCAGACCAAGTTAGATTCCAGGAGGATTCAAGTTACAGTCGGATCAAATCTTAAGATATGGGAAGTTAGGTTTTATAGAAAAGAGAAATGAACTTTTAAGATGGAGTCAGACTGGCTCCTCAGTAGTTCCCTGGAGAAGTCCTGTTGAGGTAACGCCTTGTCCCTCCTTCCCTAAGGTGAAGGACCTCCTTTACCCACACTCCCACGGCTGTGTTCAACCACCACACACGGGCTAAGTAGCCCTGGACCGAACCTCCTAGAACCATGAGCCAAGATGAACCTCCTTTGAGTTGATTCTGTCGAAAGCTTGGTCATAGTGACATAAAAATAACTAACCTTCATTTTTAAGGAGATAAACTTGAGGCTCAAAGAGGCTGCATATGAAGCCCAACACATAGAACTCTCAACTAACAGGAGTGTGTGTTCAGCCTCAGGAGTCTGTGTCTCCATTCTTCCGTGCTGACCTTGCAGAACACTGGGTTTGTGTCAGAACAGATTTCTCCTGACAGTTG